ATGTTTGCTAAGTGACATAGGTGAAAGTTTCAATCTCCTTTGCTTTCCATTTCTGGTTCTAGTAGTGCCTCTGGCTCCATCGCTTGCTTTGGCCACAGCAATGTTTTAATCAAGTTGCTGTAATACACAAACATATTTATTGCTTGCAATTAAAATGAAATTACATGCAGGTACATGTGGGCTGTCTGAGTGACAGATTCTGAGCAAAAAGTGACAAGTGCCATCAACTACCATTAACTTAACCAATTCATTTAAATGAAAATATACCTTATTACATGCAGGGATGTGTGGGCTATCAGAGTGACACCAGAGTTACAATTTCAAATCATTATATTCACTTCTATTAACCAAACTGATTCGTTTAAATTGAAGATTTAGATAATTTTTTCTTAAAATAATTTCCTTCCTTCACTGATTGTCCAGCTTTTGTGAGGGCACAGGTTGAAAAGGCACAACTCCTTGCAGGACCTCCACAAGAACCAGTTTTTCATGAGGAAGAGGAAGATGTTCCTGTCAAAGCAGAAGAACTAGTCTAGGATAGAATAGGAACTAGGATAGGAATATTTCAATCATCACAATGTTTTGTTTTGTTGAAAGGTCTTTTACAGGCAGAAAAAGTGAATAAAAAATTCAACCTTATTTGTCTCTGTGTCTCAGGAATGAGGAACAAAATTAATGTAAAAATATTCATACTCATTGCCTAAAGTTAATATGTCCTCATCACAAGGTACTATATGAACAAGCAGCATGAAAATTATTAATTTTTATTTCTCAAAAGCTTTCAAATTAATGTTATTGAAATAACAGGAATCAATAAATAATCCCTTTACCACCCTCTCTAGATCATGGACTGATCCATCTTTTGATATATGACAAAGTGTATCAGTCACACAAATCACACAGATCTTGATTTCAGGACTTATCATCTGTGTTATTTATATGTCAAACAACAAGATTTATAAAGAAAGATCACAATATTTCCAGTTAAGTTTGATTGTAATTCTTGATTTAGTTATGGTTAGTTCTATCATCCTGAATAAGCATGAATTCTAGTGTGCTACACTGGACAATACTTTAGACTTGAATATTTCTTCAAGCTAGGCCAGTCAGGACATGGTACAAAGAGCAAAGTCAGAAAAAGCAAACTATAGCCGACCACATACTAATCCATACATTTTATTAATAACTTTTTATATTCATGATGTCTTTAATGCAACAGTTTCCTTGTTTAGACTTTTACATGTATAAATGTCATTGACACATATTATTTAAAAAAATTCCAGTGCTTCCAACAGTTTTGATGTGCAGTAACACACAACCAACATTTCATATACATTTAAATGATCTGGAAGTACATTTATGGAGGTACTTGTTTAATGGACACACTGCTTGACATGTCTGCTTAACACAGCTTCAGGGAATAGAAGTAGAATGCATTGTACATGTATGTTGTATATGTAACAAATGCTCTGTTTGTTTTGTGTTGGCAAAATTAAATACCCGACTACAGAGTGCTTAGATGTTGTCATTAGAATCTTAAACATTTCATTGATACAAAATGTTATATGAATGTTATTTGAACTGATGTTGATTTTTGTCTCTGCATTTTCAGATTAGTGCCAAAATATGCAAAAGGATTATGAATCTGCTGGTGAGTATCATGCTCATGACTTTGTGTGAATTAGCCCAACAAAGTTTTAAAATGGTATGTTTGAGGTAAAATATTGATTTGATGCAAAACACCATCAGACAGCTTAAGTTTTACAATTTCTAAGGTTGACATCCATATGTATTATTCATTGCAACAATGCTTCAAATAGATGCCTATAATGGTTTTTTTCATTGATAGTATTTTTTGATTGGCATATGTTTTAATTTGCAGTCTTTGTTGCATTCACAGAAAGCAACATTGAATATTCAAGGCAGAAATAATATCATCATGATTCAGAAAGGAATGTGGTAGCTTAATTATTTTTAACCACCAGCTTGTTTGACCCTTTTACTCCCATGAGTGACCAAGACAGAATTTCTCCTTACAATATCAATAGAATATCAAGCAAACAAGTGATGAGAATAAAGAAAAATATCAGTTAGAGGATTATAAATTTATCCAATATCAAATTCTCCAAACTAACATCACAAGAACTGTATGGTAAACAGTAAGGAGAATTACAAATGAGATCTTGGGAGTTACAGGGTTAATTAATGTCAGTAATAATTTATCTTGGTGACACAGATCTAAAGCTTGTAGCATGTAAATGACTTTGAGGTGTTTAGATATTTCATTTTGATATTGTATATATATATATAGATGTATAACTGTACAATATGCTACCTGAGTTGTATTATAACAACTGTTACTGTAATCCATAGTTCCCTTCAAAGTCCAGAGTATGAACTCAAAAACTAATGTGTGTATCAAGTTTTGTCTGAAGTATTTCTCTTGTGATTGTGGAGTTCAATTACCTACTCTAAAATTAATGTTAATAAAAATTTCATCATCATGGATGTTGCAGTGACATGCAAAAATTATTAGATGGCTGTTTACTACTGCATTTTCTCATTCAGTTTCTTACTTCAGTCACAAATTGATAAAAGCGACAGTAACACTAATAACCACAAAAAAATTAAAGCTAAGTTAATGTTTAGAATCATTAAGTTTAAAAGTGTTAAGACACTGAACTTTATCACATGGAAGGAAAAAGATCACGTCAATCAAGGGGGAAATACTAAGATTAAACCAAGTCATGCCATCCAGTGCTTCTCTCCTGGTGTTGAGATAAGAACTTTAAGCCAGTTTGGGACTGGCAGTCAGCTATTTTTGAAAATGCTTGTGTGCAGTGTGAACAGTGACATTTTCCTCACTGTACATGTAGCTTTTATAATTCTTCAGATGTCAGATTTTTCAAGATTTGCTTTGGATTTTTATGTTTTTACAAGATATGGCTATTAAACATCAAGAAAATCAGATCCAAAGGGGACACAATAAATCAATTGTCATTTTCCACTTTCTAATATTTGATGAGGTTTGAGAAATCCTTCTTTTATTTGATTCTAAAACCTGGGATTCATGTCAGGTAAGAGTTAAGTTGACAAGATTCCTACTGAGATGAGACTACATGAGTGACTTAAGGGTTGGTGTTTATCTATTGCTATGAAGCAGTCTTGGATGGATTGGATGTTGCAATTTTATGGCTTTTCAATCTGGTTTAAATCATCAGTTTGCAAAAATTTAGTCATATCATAGAATCTAATTCTGTCTGTGAAGTGTACTTTTCCAGCCAAAGACAAGGATTTACTGAAAAAAAAAATTATTGCCAGGAACATGCTTGCATTAAATTGTATGTTAGGGAAAAATAAGAGTAAGACACTCTATAACTGTAACTGTTTAAGTGTAGTAGTAAATGTTTATGTAAAGGATAGTCAATTGTTTATGATTATAGATAGGCATGCCTATTATTATTTTGTGTTTCCAAATCCTGGTGATATCTGTTTGAAGGGAAAATTATGTTTCAAAAGTTTGCCTGACATACAACTCCCAAATTTCATCTTACATCATGTTTGAAGCAATTTAAGATAATGATGGATTATAATGAAATCTTTATTTTGCACTGAAACTTTGAAAATTTCTTAAATTTAACAAAATTTATTCCATTTAGTTTTTAATCATCTGTTACTTTACATGAGTAAAGAAAGTCAGCTTTAATAATAACTTAATGCATGTGAATACTTCAATATCGATAATGAAATTTGTGGAGAAAAACAATCTGTAGATACTTTCAAGCTTCCCTACAATTAAAACCCCCCCCCCCCCTCCAATTTAGAAATGGTAGTATCATTATCTGTTACTAGGGCGTTAGTAAACCAATGTTGTTAAATTATCTAGTGGTATGTTACTACGTGTTACTTCAAGACAACAATTTTGTAAAAATGGAGGTTAGCAAATTACTGTTTACAGTTAGTTACATATTTGTATTGAAGCCCTGATTCTTGCATGATTGTTGTAAAGGTTTTTCACAAGCATCAATGGTTGTACTGTATTTAACTCAGTACTAAATACTTAATCTTTCAAAATGTATTGATCACAATTTTAGACAGTAATTTACACTGTTAACCCCCAGAGTTTGAGCCGCTGCATGTGGTAGGGGAATATGGTACCAATTTTTATCCCTGATTGTGTTTTATTTTTTCATATCAGGCAGCAAATAAAGCAAGTCCTGCATTTGCAGTCTTTTAATTATTGTTATAACAGTGTAGTCTGATTACACATGCGCCAGCAACCGCATTTTATGTTAGTAAGTTTTTGACTATCACTAGATAATTATAAATGGTTTTAAAACCATTGTACTTCTTTTGTTAACACTCTCTTATTACCTATTAACTGTATAGCTTTTGATTGATACACTACTTTATATTTTTTGTCTAACCTCACTAAAGTTTCAACTGTGTTGTTCCGGCAGATATTGATATTTACTGCAACTGGAAAAATTTCGTGTGCACAACTGTCGCATATATCGATAATCTTAACTAACTCCTTGCCCTTGGTTTTCATTCTTGCACTGTGTATTAGGATACTTGTATACACCATTCAAAGCTTGGTTGCTAGAGAGTGAATTCAATATTTCCTGAAACAACACATGTCGATATTCCTGTACTTTAAGAAACTTAGAAGAGGAGCAGGTCTCAAGTAAATAATTGTCAATATTTTATTAACTTACGGTAGTGAAGCAATAAATTACGTTCCAGGGATAGAAATGTTTATCAATGTATTGTTGTTGCTGCAATTTATCCGCGTTAAATGTTAATCCATCAGATGCAGTCGAAGCCAATACACGAGTTACCATTTTCCCTCCCGCAGTATTCCGCCGCGAAGGTTGAAAAAGTTCATTTCAGTAACCATGGTTATGGACACACCTCCGTCACACCTCTAGATTGCTCCAATGAGAGCTTGCATTTAGCTTTCCCAGAATGCATAAGCAACCGCTAATTCGTAACTTCAATTAAATTTCCATTACATGTGAAACGTAAACGCGTTGTATTTCCCCTCTTAATAGCTGTGAAAGTTCTATCTTACACTGGATATCTTGTGCCAGCCCCTCGTAGGGCGGAGTTTTTCTTACAAGCCTTCATGACCGACTTCCACTCATTCAGGAGAGGTAAGTACCAAGTAATTCGCAGCTTTCTGCCGCGAGGAGGCGTATGAAAAGTATTCCATAGTTGCTTTTGTCAGTTAGCCAATCGCTCCTCGTTTCTTTTATTACTGCTGCGTTTTGATAAAGACTGTCAACGACGAGTACAAAAATTGTTATTTAATTTATATGCTTTTGATGCTAATTTGTTTCTTAATTCTTGGACCTTACTTTTTGTAACCGTTCCATGTTTTCGCCATCCAGGGCTTCCAATAATTAAAAAAGAACAAGGTTATTGTCAGTAGAAACTCTGAGATAGCCGTTTTGAGGGGTGCTGTTGGACAGTACAATGTAATACACACTTTGCCCTACGAGTCAGTGTCACCGATGTATAAATCAGCCTATGTGGTGGAATGTCCATAGACATCACTAAACGTGTGTGATAGTTGATGGTTTTCAATTCTATTGAAATTTTTCCAAGCTAGTTCCAGGTGAAAGATTTAGAAGAAACGACTGAATTAGTTATCAATTATTTGCTCAAAAACTCCCACAATTCTGCGTAAACGCTTGGTTTGGCAATGGGTTATATCCTCAGCACTGGGGGCTATCCCATTTTGTAACATTTAGGAAAATGAAGTTTAATTTGCTTCGCTATATGGCAAGGTAGTCTTGAAGTAAATACCACCACTGATTTGGTCCACTAAAACCATCATAACTGGTGTACTTTTGTTTTGAAAGGCAGCAAATTTAAAATTTAAAAGTTAAGTCCAAGTGCAATTTAATAAATCACTTGCTAACTTTGCAAATTTAAAATTTAAAAGTTAAGTCCAAGTGCAATTTAATAAATCACTTGCTAACTTTGCTTGCTTGTGTTCTACCAATAAATATTGACCATCAGTTGTTTTTTATAAGGACCTCAGGAAAATGTTTTCTAGTATGGCGCTCAGGCTTGGTAAATATCCTCAGTAAAAAATGTATTATTTGCAGATATAGCTAAATTTATCTGCAGCAATGACATCTATAAAATGAGTGAGAGACAGTTGATTCCATTTTAATATTTTAAATAAAAATTTAAGGTGATGTGGTGAGCATGGCCACTACGTACACCCCCTTGGCCACCACCACAATGTCCCCTCTTCCTCCTCTCTGGCCTCTTCTGTTTCCTTCTCTTTCTCTTCCACAGGGAGAGGCGCACTCCTTGTAAGGAGTGGCCTCTCCCTCCACGATTGAAACACTTTTTATTTCTTTGAGAAGAAAAAAAAGGAAAGAAATTAATTAGAAGTTGTAATAAGACTATGTTCTTACAAGGAGATGTTACCTGATTGACAACTATACTTACAAGATCTAAATAAATGACCCTATTACCCTAAAATTCTTATTTTTATTATCATCGATTTTTATCTTTCCAACAATGCCTGCATACTGCAGTTTTTATGTAATTGGAAAAAAATAGTTATTGCATATGACTTGTGTATGTATTGAAAATCATGACAATGGACGTTCAAGGGGTTTTTATTTGATCTTTATTTAATTTTAATTTCTTTGTAAACAGTCAAAAACAATGATATAATATCACCTTTTTTTTTTCCTTCTCACCTTTTAATCTTTGAGAAATTATCTTTATCTTGTATAAGAGAATTGTTTAAAAATGGAATATGTTTTAATACAAATAACAGGGCATGGAATTGTGCCTAATACAGGTGCCAATGCGACTAAATTTTTCACTTTGGCGACCAAATCCTGAAAATTAGTTGCCAAATTGGCGACTAGAATGTTTCATCATATACCTTACCTAGAGATATAGTGATTTAAAAAGATTGCAAAGACAAGTCTGCAGCAAACTTCCTTGTTAAGTTTGTTTCCAAAACACAGCACATGCATCTTGATCACTTGATAACTAGACGGCATCTTGGATTTAGGTGAGCTTAAACGTTACATATCATCCATCCTAGTGTTCACTTTGTAGCATGTTAAAGATCTTTTCCCTAACTCAATTTCTAGAATGATGACAATGTAAAAAATGGTTTTGTTTGTCTTTGAAAATGGCGACCAACTTTTTTTTAATTGGCTACCACTTTGAAGAATTTAGGAGCCAAGTGGCTATCAGAAAAAAAATTAAAGGATTAAAGGATTTATGCTGTTAATTACTATCATTTTTGACTCTAATTGAACAACCAATTTATTTTCACAGTCCTAAGCTTACAATCATCATACCATTGAAAATGCTTGAACAACTTTTAACCACTTTTTGTGTTGATCAAAAAACTCACTAGTTTACTGGGCTCACGCATTTATTTTGCTTTGAAGCAGTAACACTCATTTGTGCACACTTTCCATGGAATAATCTCTATTTGTTACAGATTAAGGAATATTTCTCAGAACCAATATTATTTCTAAAATTTATTTTCTTTTGCATGGGCATGATAAATTAAGATTTCTGAATACTGTGGAAAATGACATTTAAAACAAATTTTAGCTCAGCTTATTGTAATGTCAGTTGTTGTTGTTAGGTTACTACTCACTTCATTTTATTATTCCATCTCTTCCAACCTTTTCCTTTTTTCCATTTTGCTTGTCCACATCTATTTTATGAAAAAAGAATCCTTGTTTTGAACAAGTTTATTAACAACACTGCACAAGTTCTATAACTGTAAATAGAAAAGGTTTCTTTGAAGTTACAATACTGAACCAAGTGATAACAAAATATCAATGATGACAAATATCGTTTACTTTTCTGTATGTTTAACTTCTAATAAGTTGTATTGGATTGAGGACCAACTCGCCGATGTCTCTACTCGATTTTATACGTCGGCGAGTTGGCGTCGGTGAGTATGACCGTCAGCGAGTTAACCATAATTCCTTTATTCTTGTCATAAGTCTGCTTGATATTCTATTGATAATGTAATAAGAAATTCTGCCTTGATCACTTATGGGAGTGAAAGGGTTAAACATTTCATTGATACAAAATGTTATGAATGCTATTATATGAACTGATGTTGATTCTTGTCTCTTCATTTCCAGATTGGTGCTAAAAGATGCCAAAGGACTGTATCTGCTGGTAAGTATCATGCTCATAACTTTATGTGAATTAGCCCAACAAAGTTTTAAAATGGTATGTTTGAAGTGAATTATTGATTTGATGCAAAACACCATCAGAAAGCTTAAGTTTTATGATTTCCTAAGGTTGACATCCATATGTATTATTCATTGCAACAACGCTTCAAATAGATGCCCATAATGGGTTTTTTCATTGATGGTATTTTTTGATAGACATATATTTTAATTTGCAGACTTTATTGCATTCACAGAAAGCAACATTGAATATTCAAGGCAGAAATAATATCATCATGATCCAGAAAGGAATGTGGTAGCTTAATTATTTTTAACCACCAGCTTGTTTAACCCTTTTACTCCCATGTGTGACCAAGACAGAATTTCTCCTTACAATATCAATAGAATATCAAGCAAACAAGTGATGAGAGTAAAGAAAAATATCAGTTAGGGGATTATAAATTTATCCAATATCAAATTCTCCAAACTAACATCACAAGAACTGTATGGTAAACAGTAAGAAGAATTACAAATGAGATCTTCGGAGTTACAGGGTTAATTAATGTGTGCCGAAAATTTAAGTAAAATCGGCCAAATTTTGCCTATATTCAATGAAAACAGGTTGCTATGGTGGAGTTCAACAAGCACACCCTTTGAAATCAACTGAAAACTTTGATTTCAATTTTCAAAAGGCCCGAATTTTTTCCAGCAAAGCAAGAATCACAAGAGAAGACTTCAAACCTTACTGAACAACTGATAGAGGTAAGTGTTATAGTCCGAATTGTTTTAGACTCCTTTCGAGGCGCTATTAATATGTCAAGATCAGCCGTTATGCGACTCCATTTTGAATTTCGGAGGTATTGAATTTTAAGCAAAACAGTCTGTAAATGACTGGAGAGCTTTAGTGTTGGTTCCAAAGAGTGCGGTAACACCTTTATCTATCTAAATTAGTACTTGAGGAACTAAATTACACTAGATTTACATACGTAGTACTCGTTCTTAGTCAATGAACTGATACATTGCAAGTGAAAAGGCAGGAGATTTACTTGTTCGCTTTTCGTTTTAAATTTCTCTCTTTAGGTTTGGGAGCTTTCCGGACTCTTGGCAATGCGGTGGTTAACAAGGATTTGACATAATCTTGTGTCCTTTTTCTTCACATGTTCAAAATGCTGGGACTGGGTGTTGAAGGAGTGTATTCCTTCAATCCTTTGTTCACCATGGAATCCATTGTTGAAGAAAAGGTCAAACATGTTCTTCTAGCATATGGAGCCTTGGTGTGATCATCATGTCTGGGAATTTTTCCCTAATGAACAGAAGAAAATTTGTGATGTCTTCCTCTGCAACAAGAAAAGGTGGAACAGACTTAAGACATGATCTTATTATTGAATTCATGTTTTTCATAAAAGTGAGGTTCTTTCTTTCACTTACCTAGCTTATCAATCTTGCCATTATTGAGATAGTCAGCACTTTCATAGACTAAGTGGCAAGCAGCAAATAACTTGAAAACTTGTTTAAATTTAACACTAATTTCTCTTGCTTGAGAAAGGAAGGAAGGACAGCTCCTCTGTTTTTTGTCACCACAGTACTGCATAGTTAAATGATATTGTCTTCCTACCAAAAAAGGAACCTGCAACAGTTTAATAGAATTTTGTGAGTCAACAATTTCCTTCTCTGAGGGTAGGATTTGTGTTACCTTGCAGAAAGTGTGTACATGGTTACCAATTAATGATTTTCCATGGTAAGCTTGTCTCTTGACATTCATTTTCTTGAGAACCTCATCCAAATGAACTGATAATGGTCCATTGACTTTCTCAAAGGCAGCCAATTCCATTTGTTCATCCAAAAGCTTTTCCTATAATGTTGAGATAATACTTTTTAAATCTTGCTGTTAATAGTTTGTTAAATTCATTTTAGCTAGTGTCATGTCATAAATAAATGATCTGTAAAACAAAATCATACCTTCTTCAAATGAAAAATTAAGATGGGTTTGAAACTTGTGCGATGGAATTGGAGGATTGTACAGCTGTTATACTGGAAAACACAAATATATTATTGCTACCTCCTCCTTTGCATTTCCAAGGAGTTTGTCTATCTCCTCCTGTAGTAGTGTAAAGTAGGCAGGCATGATATGAACATTAGCATGCAGACTTTGTAAATTCAGCAACTCCTGTAAAGAATTGGCTTTTTTATGAAATTTTTGTGCCTGTCTAGTATGTAGTTGGGCAGCTCTGAATGCCTGGATCTTTTCGTCATTCTCTTCACTGTCTCCTGCCAGCATCATTTGAATTTTTTTGTCCAGTGCAAAGCACTGGTTCTCTAGTTCATCAAACAGTTTCTTAAACACACCCAAGCTAATGTGAAGTCCAGGAACACAAACCTGAAATAGAGAACCATTTAGTTACGTGTCCTTTATGTCCCTCTTCAAAGCAATAAAATAAACTCTTCTAAGGGCTGAAAATGGATTATTTTATCTTTTGTTTTGAAACGAATGTCTTTATTTTCAACTTAAAAAAATATTTTATTACCTGGCCACCTGTTTTGAGGAGAATAGTTGCCCCATCCTGAGACTGAAAGGAACTGTTGAATGATGAACAATCCAACTTCCTCCTTTAGGGATGAATAAACTTCCTTTGGGCTGGTTAGTAGTTGATAAACTGACAGTTTTTCCCCACAGGTTGTTGTTGTGCTAGTGGTGGTTGTAAGTTCTGCTTGTATTGATAGTACATTTATCTGTTCTGGTCCCTTTTCCTGTGCTTCATGTATGGGTTTCACTTGGACAAGGGGGGGATGGTTTTACTGAAACTGATCTTTGGGAAGGGGTTAAGATGTGTGTGGGTGCTGTTGTAGGGCTTTGAATGCAATATTCTTGATGTTGAGGTAGTTGGTGAAGTTGTACTGTGTGTTTACAAGTAGGACATTGAAAATCTAACTCTGAAAGTATAGTGCGAAGAACAAAAGGGGCTGGCTCAATGAACTTGTTAGGATATACAGTGACAGTTCAGCACACCGGGCAAAGGGATCTACACATTTTAAAAGAAAGTGACCAACAACTAGCACAAAATATGTGTGGAGTTCAGCATTTTGTCTGGACTGGTTGATCAAGTACCTCTTTTCAAATTGGGCACATATACTCATGCTTGTTTTCAACAAACTGTTCTGGATAAAGAGGTTCTGATCCTCTAAAGCTTTGTAGATTCATTACCTCCTCAGAAAATGAGAGTGTGGCTGGATCAGGTTGGAAGCTTAAAGTGCCAGACATTCCTTCAACATTTCCACTTGTCCCTTGGGTCTAGCCGAGTCCTCTCTTGGTTTTATTCCAGGTTTAATCTTCTTCCCACCAGGTCTATTTTGATCTTTAAAGAAACTGCAGATCTTACAGTTGCCAGTGCGTTTGTGTGGAGGCTACACATTGCAAGCAAGGCGTGTGCCTCCTCTTAAAGCAAGCTTGTAGCACTTGTGGCAGAACTTAAGAGGGCACATGTCAAGGTCATCTTTACGAACTTTGACGTCAAAGGCTGTGAAAATAATCTTCATCTTATCATCGCAAAGAAAGCTGTTCTCACACTTATCTTTTGCCTTCAGTTCTTTAATCGCTCTCCACAAATTCGGCAAAGTTTTCCAATATTTGTTGATGTTCAGAGAGACCAAAATTAGCCATCTGAATGTAATAATTGAAACGAGTTCTAAACTAAACTTGGACTAAGCAAAGCAGTTCTAAATTGACTTAAGATATGTTCTGAAGTTCCTTTTTCCGACCTTTTATTTCTTCAGAAGGGTACACCCTTAGGGTTTGTACCTTGTTTCAGGAAGGGGTGCGGGAATATTTGCATTTTTGTCTTATTGCGTGTGGTTCGTTCCATTTGAAGGGGGAGGGAATATTCGCAATAAACCATGTTGATCATGGCCAAGAACAACTACCAGATCAAAGCACAAATAGTAACATGTAATTGGAGGGTATATTATCCCTGATTGTGACTGAAATGTTGACCGAAAGAAACGTCTTGTCCCTGCTTTCACTATTTCCTGTAGCTTCCCGTGACAGATCGATGACGTACACTTTTCGGGAAGGAAATCACACGCACTTAGTGCACCTTTCTTGCACATAACAGAAGGCCATGGACATTTTAGCACTTTGTCATACATCGTGTATTCTTTGTTTAGCCCATGGGTAAGCATGATTGCATTAAGAGGATAAATTCGCGTAGTTCATGGGCATTAGTTCGAGGTCAAAGAGGAGATGGACGCCATATTTACTATTTCGGTGATGAAGTGTAATCGCAGACTACACCGCTCAAAACAATTCGGATTAAAACGTCAAGGTATAGAAACTGACGGCAAAGGTGAGACGTAAAGCCAGAGTCGTTCCTTTATTGAAAGAAAAATTCGAATCAATCAGAATCTTGCCTGAAAATGAGAAGACCTCAAAAAGGCGATAAGTCATCTTGCGTCAAAACAAGATGCCATTAAGCCGTCGTATAGTTAACTATATCCCGCAAATGCAATCTTTTCTAGGAGAACATTAACCAGGGAAGCAAAACACAATGTCTGCACAGAAGTTAGCTATTTCCTCGGGCTTTGCGCATATACTTTTTGCGACCTAGTTATCAGTGGGCTCTTGTCGAGCCACAGAATGATTCCCCTTCGTTGTGAAATGGAGAGTTCACCTTTCTCGTGCGCTTCGTTGAAACTTGCTATTAAATCGTTTCCTAAAAGTTAAAAAAAATAGGTATAAAATTCGACGGTAAATCCGTCTTCCCCTGGTGCTTTATTATTCTGAAAGGTTTCTAGTATCTTTTTGCATTCTTCGTACGTAAGTGGACGCTCCAAGGTTTCTTGCACGTCCTCTGAAAGCTTAGGGGATTCAACAATGTCAGTGAATGTGTCATACGCAGTTTCAGAGAAGGTTAAATCCGAGGTATATAGGTTTCTATAATAGTTTTCAATTTGCTCTAGAATCACTGTCTCGTTGCGCGTAATAGAATCATCTTGTAATCGAAGTTCACTGATAGTTTTTTTTTTGTAATTACTTTTTCAAGATTTAAAAAAAACTTTGTTGGACGTTCAGTGTTTCTATCCAGCGGCATTTTGCTCTAAACATCGTCTTTTTTCCTTTTTTTTTTTCTTCGTCTTAATTCCTGTGCTCGGTTGCTGATATATTTTGCTTTACTTTTGGAAAAGGAAATAGTTCCTGATCTGATTTCCATTTTCATTTACTCACAACTGAGTCATTCACTGAGTCATTTGCATAAGAATAATCAACTTTTGGATGTACAAAGGGATTAATTAAAATACACAGACCTTTACTATGCGTGGTGCCATGTGAGAAAAATAGCTCGCCATCCCATTCTTTCTCCAAATATTTTCATCAGCTCGTTCTGAATGTTCCTTTAAAAAATAAATGTTTGCTTTTTGATCGTTTAGGTGTGAAAGATACACCTCCTCTTGATTTGATCTCTGATTCCCCGAACGTTAAGACGTCAAATTTGGACAAACTACCCGTATACATATTACTCGATAGAAAAGAGAAAAGCGAATTAAACTACGAAAAAAAAAGTTACAAAAACTCACTAAAGTATAAACAATCCAAACAACACACACAAACAAATACATGCAACAACACAAGATAGAACAACTAAACCTTTTTGCAAGTAGGATAAAGAGATAAGTCACAGATCCAGACAGACTAAGTCCGTCCCCTCTCCCAAAATACTTCTTAGCAGGCTACAGATTCTCGAGGTCCTCCAATTCGATGACTTTGCAATTATATTCTATTGAGCGTGGCTGATAATTTCGGTTGGGAAAATGAGCCAAAATTAAAGGAGAAGGTAAACGACTTCGACCTACGACATCACCAATCGATGAGAACAGTGATTTAGTAGAACAACACACACAATCGTATGGGCTTCTCTTATATCTTCTCTTGAAGTTACCAGGTATGACTGCTTGCTCCATTGTTTTTTCCCTAGCGTTTTAACCTCCTTTGATAAGCGTCGAATATTGATTCAAAAAATTTCTTTAACTCGTGTTCAAAGCCGGTCATATGATTGTCCTCTGGCTGGAAATACACTACTTCTCTTTGAGATGTTTTCTGTTATTTGATTTGATAACCTCTACTGGAACTCAATATAATGTCAGTGTCTTTAAACCAACTATCCATGATCTTCACAACTCTAACAATTGAAATACGAAATTTTTCTATCATGTTTCTTGCGCGGCGAACGTTTGATTTAAAGGAAGACAAGCTAGAACTAGAATATCATAATTAAAACTTGATGATGAAGAGAGACTTAGGATTTGTTCATGAAGATATTTGTAGAAACCTAGAAATAATACCAGGATTTCATTTGTATATTACAGAAATCAATTAAGAACATCGATCAGGTTTTTTTTCTCTAGTTTTAAAGTTGAGTTGATGTTGTTATTGGCCATAGTAATGAGGTTGAAAAGTTTTAGATGGTATTCTCTTATGTTTGCAGACAAACGATTTTTATGGAAGGTGGAGTTGTGGCAACATATTAACATGAAACACAAAAACAAATTTTATTTATCTGTAAAAAGTTCTAATTTGACCGTCTACTGGCAAATACTTGTAATATATTTCAACCCAACCATTTTGCAAAACTTGTAGACACCATTACGAAATAACTAGTCAGGGAATTGGAAAATTTGCAGCATATCCACTATGTTTGTAATGCTATGTCCAGAATAAGGTAAGATTGAGGGGTGTGTATGTCGAAATAGACTCGGTTGTATGCGTCATTCATTTGCTAATCGCCCCAGTTGCCAAAGTTTGGATGAAGTTAGGTTGTCAGGGCAAAGGTCAGAGGATTTTAGGAGGCCAGCAGATTTGGGAAACATTCACAGGAGAAGAAACTTTCCTAAGCCTTGAAACTATCATTATACAAAGCCCTACTTGTGCTTGGTAACTAATTCTTATTCTGATAAACTAATTTTAGGAAGGATACAATATTTTATTACATAAAATTGATGCATAGGCTTTGCACAAAACTTTGCCGTGCTTTTTATTCACGCTTGGCGTTATGTGATGATGATCGCCATGACAATTTTAACAGACGGTCCTTCTTCTGTACTAGTCTTGATTGAGAAGAGTCGAGCACGGCGCCGTGTTGACCCAATTTAGTTTATTTACATTTCATGTCTATAAAGACCTACTAGATTATTTCGCTGAAAAACATAAATTTTCCCTGAGTTAGAGTGAAGTTCCCCAGACTTTTCCCTGACCTTAGGCAGCCTCATTTTCCTGACCTGATTTCCTAACTTGTGGATACATGTAGAAGGTAAAGTAGAATCTGTACCCGAGCCAAGTGGCCCATCCGGTCAGAGGTTATACCGGTTTCTGTAGCATGACGCGACTAGAAGCAAAACCATGGTCAACCCTCAAACGGAGAATAATATTTGACG